ATTTAATGGAAGGACTACAATGAGCTCTCTCTAGTCATAACATATTTCATTCATTAAGAGCAGCATAAACATCTATACCTTCTACACTAAGCATGTACATGTACATATACATGTACAAAGTTACACCAAATGAGAACATTGATCTATGGAATGAATGCATTGCTAGATGTAGTCTTGATGTGCGTGAGTTTTTAAAGGAAGTCTCCAGGCTTGTACTGAGAGGGTTTGTAATAGCGGGTAGTGCAGTAGGCGGAGGTGCTGTCGGTACTGTCATCGGAGGAGTCATTGGGTCTATAGTACCTATTGTAGGTACTGCAATAGGAGCTGGCATTGGAGCTGGCGTGGGGGGCGGTTTAGGAGCTACTGCTACTGGGGGAGTGTCTGCTTTCTTGGTTATACTGAGCGAGAGACTTAAGAGAAAGAAATATAATAGTAACTGAACTGTGTTTAGTAATTAATGCTGTGTAGTTTATTTATAGATTATGTTATGTTTATTCAAGTTTATGTATGATATTTATAGTCTGTAGTCTGATTGGTCAGTTAGTATTATTCATGGCTAGGGAACTGTAGCAGGTGCTGGTATTGGAACTGCAATAGGAGCTGCAGTGTGGGTGGAGTATTGGGGGGTGGTACTTCTGCTGTTGGGGTTGCTGTGAACACAGTGTTGTAGGGATAATGATAACTTAATAAAATGATAAACTAATTATATTAGTTGTAGTTCTTTTATAGTGTCATGTAAATGCTTCATTAGCATTATTGCTAACAAATATATATTAAACACATTTGAAGGTTTGAAAATTAAACAAAGCTATTATTATAAAAAGTTCAAAGAACATCAGCATCCTTATATTATTCAATGGTAATCTGAAAGGGAAAAAGTATTACCCGATGAATGACAATACAAAGAAGACAGCTCACAGTAGTAATAATACTGTAGGTCACGTGTGATATATTTGTGGCTTATTTTTGTGATTTTTCCCCATACTTGGCAATTACCATAGCAACCAGATGTGATTTTAATTGAAAACTGCATAATAATTATTTTAAGCAAAGCACCCTGCTGCAGTTTTTCAGTTGTTTATTTGTTGTTGCTAACCCTTGGTCTCTTTGAAGCTGCTTTAAAGCTAGGTTCACATTTGACAAAATGGTCAAAAGTGCGTGGGAAATTTGACCTTTTGACGCAAAAACGTTTTGAAGTTGACGCAAAATTGGTCAAATTTCAATTTTGCGTTCATTTGCGTTGCGTTTTGTGTTGAGTGTAAACCAGGCTTAACCAGTTCTTTTCAGCCACCCATTCCAGTTTTGTTTACATATTATTGCTGTATACTAGTCAAGTGCAGTAATAATTGTTAAATTGTAATACTATTTACATGTACATTGTACATGTATTTTACATGCTTGCATATTTTTTTATTTTTGTCCTTTTACTTTTAGCTTATGAAGAAGTTTGTAGCTTGAGGCCGCAAATTGAAGGGGCACAGTTCAAAGTTCAATTGGTATTAATCTCTAGTGTTTTCTTTTATATTAATTTATTAATTTTTATTGTATGTACATTTTAGCTACGAGAGACTCATGAAAGTGAACAAGAGAAAGCTTATCATTTGAAGGCTCAAGTTATTGAGGTAATACAAGTTACAAGTTTGACGCTGATAAGTGATTAATACATACATCACATTGTTCATATACAGTACATGTTTATTTTGTATCATTGGAATATCTTGTGATTTCGTTTATAAAATGTACTTTTTATAGGAAGGGCAACATGGTATGGTCCACCATCCTGAGTATGTCAAACAAGGTTTAGTGATGATATTGGATAAGAGAAGAGGGATAGCAGGTATGTTGCAATCTTTACACTTTATTATTTATTGTGCATGTATCTTTTACTGTGTACTTGTATTTAATGTGTATTACATGTATATTTTACTCTACATGTATAATTGTTTTACATATATTTTTGATGACATTAAGCATCAACCTTATAGGGTTGGTTTATAATTTAAGCAGATCAGTTTGTGATATTGAAAATGCAGTTCAAAGCTGCTTGATTTTGTGATGCATGTATGTGTACTTTGTACATTCACCTTTGTTGACAACAACCAAGCCCCAACTGGTATACAACTGTGTGTTTACAATGAGTACATGTATATACATGTAGTTACTAGCTATTATATCTGCCTCCAATTATTAGTCTTGCTTATACATGTATATATATGTACATGTACTAGATATGCATGTATTGGCAGTAGCTCTGTTTGCATCAAATTTTCTATTCATTGCTTTATGCAGACATTTGTTAATGTTTATTAAATTAATTACCGTATAGCCCTTTATTTTGGCGGCGCTTTATTTTGGCGATTTTGCTGTAAAATTCTAATTGGTGGTTTTTAATTTGGCAATTTTTGTGTACACGTGCATTACTGAGAATGCGCATTAATGATTGGTGGGTTTAATATTGGTGATTCTGCTTGCAAACCGCCAATTGCCAAATTAAAGCGCTATACGGTATTGTTTTTGTTGTTATTATTTTTGTTATTTATAGGCCATCACTGGCAGAAATACTTTTGTCAGTTTCGCAAAGAAGAGAAAAGAAAAATGGTGAAATTTTTGTGTAATCAGAAAAGCCCAGCGGTAGGAAGAATATACTTAATTGTGATGTTAATGCATTTAATGTGAATTTTTGCAGTCCAGTGTGCTTTTATTTATATTCTTTAATATTTGCTAACTATAATTTGTAATTTAGCTTTGCAAAATATTGTACAGATTTAATTTAATTTTTTGATTTATTTGTCACCTTTAACAATATTATTATGTACTTTTATGATTTTTTTCCTATTTATTAGACACCAACAGATGAATGGATGGAAGTGAAGGATTGTGTTCGTACTAAAGCTGAAGAGATTGAGAGAAGATTTTGCTTTGAGTTGAAGTGCAGGTACATGTACATTCATGTCACACACATACACATGTAGGTGTAGGAAAGGGGGGGGGGCTAAGGGGGCTGAAGCCCCCCCCCCAACTATTCAGCAGGAGGAGCTTAGCCCCCCTAACTTTTGGTGGATGAACAATAAGAAATACCATCACATGGCTTTATTTCAAACTTCATGTACTTAAATGGGCATAATGTAGCAATAAAAAATGGCAGGAATTAGGCATGCAGTAGCTGTCAAGAGCACATACCGGTATGACAGTACATATTTACATGTTTTTATGTTCAGCCCCCTTCAGCCCCCCCAACTTTCGAATCATTCCTACACCTATGGTTACACACATTGTGATATGTACTGCAGTTGGTACAAGTACCATTCATGTTAATGTGCAATGTACTTGTATAACTTTTTTGTTTCAATATAGCTAGATAAAATTAATTTTGAAGCATGCACAACTGTACATGTACAGTATGGGCTGTATTTTTTATGAATCATATGAATTTTTGTGCTTCTGTTGCGTTGCGTGTAATTGTTGATTTTTATTGTGTTTTATATTTTTAGTTTGAAGGGAGCAGAATATAAGATAATCCTTCAAGGGATTGGTCAAGAGGACAGAACATCATGGCTCCAAGTGATGGAAGGAAGAGAGCCAGTGAGTACATGTACATGTATACTTCATATCAGTTGCTGCATAGATGGGATACAATATTTTGTCAGAGTTTGAGTCCCTTTAAAAAGTTTAATTTTAAGTTTAATTTGCTTTAATTTCCTAAAAATTTTGTTCTCTTTACATGGATGGATTGTCTGTATACTGCATGTACTTTCTGGAACAAAATTACTCTCAACAAAATATACCCACGCTCTGTAGTACATTTACATGTATTTGTTTGTAAATTTATGTATGTAATGCATGCTGTCATTGACTTTTATGCATGTACATGTATAATGGATTAATAGTGCATTAGTTTGTACAAATGTTATATTTATAATTATTTTATAGGTTTATTCATCTTTAAGAGCACTAGAAAGTAAGTGAAATATTTTAGTTTTACATTTAATTATTTTTTAATTATTATTAGCTGGAAGGATCAATCCTGTTGGATACAAATTTGTTGAGAAGTGCATTAACACAATTGAGGAAAGAGGCAAGTTTGTAGCCCATGGTTTTTTTTCAAAAAATGGTTCCAAAATCACCCCAAATTTTTATTACATTTTCTGATACATATTGATGTCCTTATGCTGTGTAGAAAGTTTAAGGTAATTCCGACTTCAATTTTTTGAGTTATGGCCATTTTAAGAAAACGTCAAAATTCTGAAAAATACCCAAGGCTATAGCCCATGGTTTTTTTCAAAAAATGGCTCCAAAATTACCCCAAATTTTTATTACATTTTCTGATGCATATTGATATCCTTATTCTGTGTAGAAAGTTTGAGGTGATTACGACTTCAATTTTTTGAGTTACGGCCATTTTAAGGAAATGTCAAAATTCTAAAAAATACCCAAGGCTATAGCCCATGGTTTTTTCCAAAAATTGGCTCCGAAATCACCCCAAATTTTTATTACATTTTCTGATACATATTAATGCCCTTATACTGTGTAGAAAGTTTGAGGTGATTCAGACTTCAATTTTTCGAGTTATGACCATTTTAAGAAAACGTCAAAATTCTGACAAATACCCAAGGCTATGGTTTTTTTCCAAAAAATGGCTCCAAAATCACCCCCAAATTTTTATTACATTTTCTGATACATATTGATGTCCTTATACTGTGTAGAAAGTTTGAGGTGATTCCGACTTCACTTTTTCGAGTTACGGCCATTTTAAGAAAATGTCAAAATTCTGAAAAATACCCAAGGCTATAAGCCCATGGTTTTTTTTTCAAAAAATGGCTCTGAAATCATTCCAAATTTTTATTACATTTTCTGATACATATTGATGTCCTTATACTGTGTAGAAAGTTTGAGGTGATTCCGACTTAAATTTTTCAAGTTACGGCCATTTTAAAAAAATGCCAAAATTCTGAAAAATACCCAAGACTATAGCCCATGGTTTTTCCAAAAAATGGCTCTGAAATCACGCCAAATTTTTATTACATTTTCTAATACATATTGATGTCCTTATACTGTGTAGAAAGTTTGAAGTAATTCTGACTTCAATTTTTCGATTTTAAGAAAACGTCGAAATTTTGAAAAATACCCAAGGCTATAGCCCATGGTTTTTTCCAAAAAATGGCTCCGAAATCACCCCAAATTTTTATTACATTTTCTGATACACATTGATGTCCTTGTGCTGTGTAGAAAGTTTGAGCTGATTCTGACAAGTATTTTTCGAGTTATATGCATTTTTAAAAACAGGCCAATTAAAAAAAAAAAAGCAAAAGCGAAAGCAAAATGGCATCGAAATCACCCCAATTTTTATTGCATTTTCTGATAAGGTATTTGCATGATGTTTGTAAATGATTTAATAATTATTATGTATAACCTGTCGTCCTAAGCTTGTTCCAACATTTTTACATAAAGCAAACATATACATGTACATGTACATAAAGTATTCATGACATGTACATGTACATGCATGTACACTTATTGTGCCACTGTGTAGGATTGGAAGAGGAAGGCCTGTACAGGAGACCTGGAGTTCTGGCAAAAGCTAACAAACTAATGAAAGAAGTGTCAGGTAAAGAGTACATTAAAATAAAATTAGTGATGAATTTCCTTTTTGTATTTTTTGTTCTATAGATAGTAATGCAGTTGAAAACATGGACTTCTCTGATGAAATTGAATGGGACACTAAAACACTGGCCAGCTCAGTGAAAGCATACTTTGCGTAAGCAGCATACTAAACATGTACATGTACACATTATTATAAATTAAATTATATGTACAATGTACATGTGTACATGTAATATGTAATATACAGGGACTTTGGCCCAATTTTCAAGTAACTTTTAAAATTTGTAAATAACCTAGTTTTGATCAGAATCAGCTCAAACTTGCTGCAAAACATAAAACAGAAAAATTATAAAAATAAAAATTCTCGCCCTTTTCATTTTTGGTGAAATTTGGAGGTTGTTTATAAATTTTTCAATTTGTACTGCCGTTTGTCCACAAAATTTAAACTATTATTATTATTATTATCATTTGAATTTTATTCTTATAGGAAGTACCTGGGTGAACCAGTACTAACTTTTGAGCGCCACTACAATTTCATCAATGCAGCCAGTAAGTTAGACTGATGTCTTATTAATAGTGTCATTGTATTTTAATGAAAATTTGTGAATAAAGAACTTGTGCTATTTTCACGGTGCACATGATGTACGTGTACATCTATGATTTTTAAAGCTTAATCACAATGGCAGTGTTTTAAAAATCAAGGATACATTAACAATGAAGTGTCTGTAATAAAGTTATGGGAACAAAAATAATATTATTATATTAAGCTTGATGAATAATTTCTTTTTACATCTAATTTTTACACTTTTAGAAATTAATGATACTGATGAAAAGTGTAAGAGCATTCAGATACTAATAAGAGAATTACCTAAACCAAATTATGACATCCTCTCACTTCTAATACCTCACCTGAGAAAGTAAGAAATTTTGATTTATTTTAAACTTGTACGTAATACACTGTACATGTGTACATGTATATACATGTACAGTACGTTCTCGATTATCCGAACACCTTTGTGCACTTCTATTGGGAGAGATGTTCAGATAGCTGAAATAGTCTGAATAAGTGAAATGCAACGCAGAATACAGTAGGCCGACCTATCCTATACTTTTTTGAAGAATAAATGTGTATAACTTTCCTTTCTCTAACTCGCAAACCATCTCAGGCTTCTCTTTAATGGCCTTCCTCTTGGTTAAGCTCCGTGAACTCCTTGCTGCAGCAGCCATTTTAACCGGTTATTAATAAATTAACTAGTCTGAGCATGCGCATTAGAGACAGCCATGCATTCGGATAAACGAGGGTTCGGATAAAAGAGGTATGGATAATCGAGGACGTACTGTACATTGTATGTATGTGTACATGTACTAGATTTTTGTCAATCCCATTGAGTTGCTACATGCATGCATGTGTATTCTCGTCAATTTATCATTTATAAAATATATATGTACGTATAGCGCTTTATTTTCGAGGAGCTAAACTTTCGCTATTTTCGAGGTCAGCATGAAACCGCAAAATTAAAGATCCGCTAAAATTTCAATTGCCATCAAAGGTGCGGCACCATCATTGCGAATCCGCAAAAGTTATTTCTGCGAAAAATTGATTTTTATCAATCCGCGAAAATTTAGCTCCGCAAAATTAAAGTGCTATACGGTATTTCTGTACATCTCATGTTTACTGAATCATATACTGATCGTTCTTATTGTTATAATTACAGTATGTGTCTTTATGCTTATAAAAACTTTCATTATCATGTCTTTCTTATTTGTAGCATTGCTGATTTAAGTTCCATTAATTTGATGAAAGCCAGTAATCTCGGAGTCTGTTTTGGTCCCACGCTGATGCGTCCGGAGCATGAAACTGTTGCTAGTATTGTTGATATTCGTTATCAGAACATTATAGTTGAATTCATGATCAGTCATGTTGATGAAGTAAGTTAGTACATCATAGTCCTGCCTATGGTGGTCGGGGGTGGTCGGGACAACCACCTCAACAAATGAACCAACCAGTTCATCACTTAGACCAACCATCCAATTAATACTAATAACCATACATAAAGCATGATATTGTAGTCTACTAGTATGGTGTACATAAATAAAAAGGAGCAATATTAGTCTCTGACCACCTCTAATTTTTCTCTAGGCAGAACCCTGGTACATGTACATGTATGTAAACGATGGAGTTAAAAATAAAGTGATTACATGTACATGTATGCACCTACTTGTAGGTGCTAATATTTTAATTTATTTTAATTTTAGTGTACCTTTAAATGTATGAACAAAGCCTGGGCCTATTGGGTTCAAAACTTTCTATTAGTTTAACATGTACATGTATATGTATCAAAAATAATATAAATTTTGATTAATTGACATTTACATTTTTTATAAAATGTTCCTAATACAATACTGCAAGCATAAGGTTTTGGGTATGAGTCTTTACATGTACATGACTATACATGTAATTAGATTTCTCTTGATACATGTACATGTACATCCATAGTTGTATTTATACCTAAAAGAATTAGATAGCATAACTTTACACGTACATTAGATTCACAAGTTTACTTTCTATTATGATACTATTTTAGTTGTTTCCTGGAGCTCGTGAAGATCGTCCTTACCCACGAACCAAGGGAATGAAAACGACTAGTAAACTATCACGATCTGAGCCGTCTATTAGGAACAGGCGTCCTCCTCCTGCTGCTCCTGTAAAGATATCTGCCGCTAACTTTGCTAAGAGGAGCCAGGAGCAGAGAGCACAGTCAATGATAGGGAGTGCTAGGTTAGTTATTACTAATTTATTACACATGTACATGTACATGCATATACTATACATACATATATATTACACATGTACACTGTACATGTACATGTACATGTACATATACATGTATATGTATATACACGTACTACATAAACAGTGCATATACCATAGATCTACATATTCTTGAACAGGATTCCCCACAAAGCATGCTAAATGAGCTAAACAGCATGAGCTTCATAAGCTGACAAGCACTACAATACAGTACATGCGTATTATCTAAACTTAAACTTCAAAAATTTTAACAAAATTGAGAAATCACAATTACATCAAGTACAATCCTTACATACACTACATGTACTTATTGTATTATTATTACTATTAATGTCATTATTGCTATTTTATTATTGATTGTAGTAGTTCTAGTTCAGTATTACCAATTGTTAGTAATAAAGACATTCCTCCACCTCCTGTCTCACAGAGGCAGTCAGTTGCACTGACCCCACCCGCCTACAGCACCAGTGGACAAGACAGAAACATTCTACATGGTAATACATGTACATGTACATGTATTTAAGCTATTAAAGTTTAATGGTTGGGGAATCAAAATTGACAGAAATGATTTTTAAAAATTATTTACTCGTATTTGGCCTTGTAAAACATTGCTGTAATTTTTTGTAGAATCTGAGTTTTTCAATTTTTGTAATTTGTAAAGCTTTTATAATTTTAATCCCACTGACAAAAAATGATTATGAAAAAAAATTATTAAAATTGATTATTTGTAATGCACTTACAATGTAACAGGAGTGTTATTATAAATAATTCTTATTTATTTAATTCCAGAGTCTGGTCAGTTTGATCATTTAGAATCAAAGAAGCCTGTACCAACACAGAGACAAACTTGTAAGTAGCATCATTCTTCCTTGCATGTTACTATTACATGTAATGTATCTTGTTTCAGCCGTTCAGAGGGTTGCTCCACAACCTCCCCCTACAGCTACAAAGCCTCATTCTCAGTCATCACCACCTGAACCACCTCCTTCTGAAGCAAAGCCAAGTATACTCTCAAGGTTTGGTTTTATTATTTTTATATTATTATTATTATTATAAATTGATGGCAGGCGTTCCCCTCCATCTCCACCAGTAAAACCAAGCACTGGCAGGTACTTATTATATTAAGCTCAGTGTGTTTTATCAGGGCTCAATGTAACAGGCTTACAGCCAGTACTTAATTGACCTTTTTCTGTGAATTTGCAATAAATATAAATGCATTTGTGATTGTGATTGGAAAAACTAACAATAATGCTAGCCTGTAAAAACTTTGTTTAGACCTTTTGTAACACAAAAAGTCTAAAAAATTATAACTGTGAAACATATTATCTCTGGCTATACAGTATCAAGCATGTATATACAGTATATGCATGTGTGTTGCTGATAGTTCTTACTCTATTAGTAGTACTGACTAAATAAATAATTATCATGATTTTCTAGGCGTGCCAAGGCTTTATTTGATTGTGAGGCTGAAGATGAGTTGGAGCTCTCTTTTCGTGAAGATGAAATATTTATTAATGGTAACAAAATCTATAGTTAGCTATATTATTCTTTAAATTATAATACACTGTAGTTGTGGAGTCTGAGGAGCCAGATTGGTTGCAAGCTACTAATTCATCAGGGAAGAGAGGTCTTGTGCCTGCCAACTATATTGAGTGGTTGACTTAATGCTTTATTTTGACGGTTTATATTGTTATTAATGTTATAGTTCATGCTAGTAAAATTCATTAGTTTCACAACTTTTTTGTACTCAATCTAGTCAGAATAAAAAATTCTAATAATGACACGTGCAGACAAGAAATAGTAATTATTATCAATGACTGACAATGAGTCATTTTGTCTTCCTGCTTCTCCTTAGCTGCAGTTGGTGCTTTACAATATGCTACAACAGAGTCCCAATGGTATGTGACTGAAGTATCTTTTATGCTTTGTATCCTTTGGTGTAATGTATAACAGTATTATAGTTGTAAGTGAATTTGTTCACTAAAAGTTTTAGTTATGTAACAGTATAACTCGTGTATACATGTAAGTTGTATTCTCTTGTTTCTTTCAGTGTTAAATAAAGCAGATTTTAATACAAATGTTTTAATGTTAAGGATTTAGTTAAGTTATAAAGCTACAGTACAATTACTTACAGCCCTAGGCCTCTTCAGGCAGTGCCTATAGTACGCTCCTGTATTGGGCATTGACCACAAAAATTTGTACATGACATAGTATTGGATGTGCTAGATGGCAATTTTCTGTTATAATTTTAACTTATTAGCTGTAGATCTGGACTTTTATTTTGAGATCCAGTGTTACAGTACAATTAACATGAATAGCTCCTTATATACACTTCATTATTAAGATAGAAATGAAATTCTATGACAAAACTCTGATCCCAGCCCCACTACTACCCACTCCTGATGGACTATAGTTTTATGGGAGGCAAGACCAATTTATGAAAAAAATATAATGAGCATGATTCTATTATTTAGGATTCAATTCAATTAAGTCAGAAAGCTGCATGAATAATAGTATTGATGCATGATAATGAAACAGCTTGTGTATGGAGCTAAAGGACATCACAGGCAACTGATAAACAAGAGCTGATACAGCTACTTTTACCCTAATAGTCTGCATCTAGAATAATACAAATAATAAAATAGTTTTATAATTTTTGCAACTAGCATTTTATTCAGTAACAGTGCCAGTGAAATGGTCAAAGTTCTCTGGTATTCAATTTATTCATTACCACTTTTTAATATGTATTTTTTCCACCCAGTCCACAGCCTACTTAAGATTATCTACTTTTAGAAGTATAGTGCATTGTTGATACAGCTCAGTTGTAAATAGAATTATGCTTTTTAGACCCCAAAATACAGATAAAAAAGAGAACAAATGACTCTGATCATGGGAATGTTGTATCCTTAGGTGTATTAAATTGTCATGATAGTCACATGAAGTGGTTCCAACAGTTGTACTAATGATCGTGCAGATGAATTTGTCAAAACTTCTAGCAAAATAAAAATATCTATCAAAAACAACAACAAAAACAAAAACAATAATAATAATACTAATACTAATAATAATAATAATAATAATAATAATAATATTCTGTATTATTAAGTATTGATAAATTTAATTAGTTTAATTATCTTTGCACCATAAAAAACGTTCAGTTAAATTATATTTTTTGCGCACCTTTTTTTTTGCTGGATCCTCATTTTCACCTTGCTTTACCAAATTGTATGTATCATACTTGCAGCATAACTTCTTTTTGCATACAATATATGTACATGTAATACTAACAATACATGTCAGCAACAAAACACCTGATACCGTAATAGTAACTATAATAGCTATAATAAAATATATAATATATATTATATACATATATTATACTAACCAGTATCAATAATTTTATTATGACTTGTTGTTATAGGTGTTGCAGTAGAGGATGTTTGTACAGTAGTAGTGACATTAGTATTAGTAGGATATGTATCTATTAATGCAATACTTGAGTATGCAATATAAACACATACATTATACTTACCAAATACTAGTATAGATGGTTCACTACTACCAGCCTCATTACTAACTACAATACTGATATTACACTGTTCATATATTGGTATGCCTGATACTGATCTTGTTATATTGACTGACATATTAGCAAATTTCACTACATAAGTAGCAGACAAGAGATCACCAGTTCCACATCGTATAATAACTGTAACATTCTCAGGAGCTTCACCAGTACAGACCAATGTAATCTATAATAGTGATAATAAATAATAACTACAAAAATGATATAATTATTACTGGTATATTGAAAGAAGCAGTAACACTAGTCTCATTATATGCTGTTATCCCACTCAAACAAGCTGTTACTGATCTTGGTCCTAAGTAAACAAAAAATCATTTATTCAGTAATTATCGTCTATTGTACCTCTTTCATATGAGAATGTATCACTATTAGATACTCCTTCTCCTAATTCATTAACTCCAGTTATAACATATGTATAACAATGAATAAATAAATTATTATCCACAAACTGATAACTGGTATCATATACTGATACAGTATCCACTAGACTATCAGTAATAGCATCATATATTCTTAGTTTGTAATACAGTATAGATACTCTATCATCAACTGTAGGAGCAGTCCATGTTATATTAATAGTAGAACAGTTGTCAATTGAAGAGTCAATGTTAGTAACCAGTCCAAGAAAACCTAGTGTATAAGTTGTTTACAAAATTATTATTATTGATAAAATCTCATAGCTGGTAATTTTGGAGGAAAATTTTGACAAATTCAATTTGGCAAATAAAACCCACGTACCACTTTTAACCATAGCACAAACTAAAAAAATTAACCCTCCAAATCAAAAATTGCCAAAATTTCCCTTCACACGATCAGTTACTTACCAAATGTAAAAGATGATATGTCATTAAAGGTTCCTTCATCATTACTCAATGTTACATTAACAATAAATGTATCAATATTATCAAGTAACAATATTGAACTAGTACTTCCAGTTACAACCATCAGTTGATCATTAATTTGTGTTGATATAATGGAATTACTGATTACTGTGTCATTAGTATTCAGTATATTAACTGTAATACTATTAGGATACTCTCCTTTACATATGGTACTGACCTATGAGTATGTGTGTGTGTGTGTGTTTGTGGTGAAATGGAGTTATGCAAAAATAATTACTTTAACATCTAAAATTTCAAATCTTCCCTGGATTGATTCACGGCAAAGTAAAAAAAATTAAGAGTATCTTTTCTTGGTAATTAAAATATTTGATTTGCTTCACTTTGATTCATAGGCGTATCTATACTATTTAAACTAGGGCAAGCAGGGGTAAAGTTGACACAAAATTTAATCATAAAAAAGTTATTATTGTCAAGGGTTGCAGCATATACTTGCTTAATTTAATTTACTAAGTGCTGTCACTGCTTCCAGTGTTATTATAAGTAACCATGCTTAAATAATTAATTAATTACTGTTAATTAACATATATTAATGGTTAATTAATTTTAATTAATAATATGTCTGATGTAATAGATACGCCCATGCTTTGATTGCTGATTTAGATCAGACTTTGAGGGCGTTTGTTTGTAGTCTTGCATAGTCAGACTCCGTCCTCTGTGCCTCCGACCTGGAGGCATGGAGGGCAGGTCTGGCTACACGAGACTAGCTTGTTTGTGGCTGCAAACAGTAGGGAAAATTACAAATCTTATAATTACTATAGAGTAAAATTTAATTTTTAAGCCTGGAATTCTGTTGCAACAGTAGTGGAGATACAAATCAGGTCTATCACTACAACAGTTGTATGCTAACTACAAAATAAACACAACACCTACAACTAAACCAGGCAGGCTTTTGGCTCTATTGCTTCCATTTAAACGTCTGAAGCTTATAGACTTGGGCTACTCTTCCTAAAGGAAACTTAAAAGGTAGATCTAAGTGATCCTTAGGCAATCATAACTTTAAATAAAACAAAAAAGTTACATTTTAGAAAAGTTTTTGTATGTTTCTAGAGATAATATAACTTGAAACACAAAATCTGACTACATTTGGCAAAATTGTTGGTTTTGGTGACTTGCACTGGCTTAACAAAGCAGTTAACTTGTAAAAATATTTGTTAGTTTAGGAAACTCTTGTCTAAAACCATAAAACCTGCAAGTTGATCTGTGGAGTGACCAACACAACTACATAATCTTCGCCCAGACTAATCATTTGTCATGCATGCCATTACTTTAATGATAATACTTACATTAATACTGATATTCAATGATATTTGCTGTCCATCAATTACTGGTACCACTGATACAGGAGGAGTAATGAGAGGAACTGAAAGATACACTGTGAACATATACATGAAGCCATAATAATGCTAACCTATTTCATAATAAAATTTGATGTTATTAGATGAACCTATTCCAACATCATTAATAGGAGAAACTGATACATTATTTAATATACAAGGATCAGGGTTAGTAGCTAATGTAATATTAGTATTATTATCAGTAGTAGTAATTTTCCCTAATCCATTGACTAGTATATAGTATCCAGTGATGGGTACATTATCCAGTGTATAAGGAGCTGTCCATGTTAATAATACACTGGATCCATTAATAAAGGTATAATCCAGATCAGCCACACTATCCAATAAACCTAAAGAAGTAAATAATAGGTAATTGTAAACATTATATATAGTCATCATTCGAAACACTGCCATGATTATGTGAGCAACATAATAAAAGAGAAAGAAAAATGGGTGTTTCTCTGAGTATCAACAATCAAAATATAAACAATGGCAAGCTACTAGCTCTTCTCGTAATTTTTTCTAACTGCCAAGGACACAATCTAGGGGATTCATTAATGAAAAATTATTATGCTTTTTGTAACAAAAACTGAGGTGGCAGACTGTCAGTACAGCACTTTAGCTCACTAAAATGCTTTTAAAAACTCCTCTCTCTTATTTTTCTGTTAGAAAACTCAAAACTTTGTCCCGAAATTTTTATTTATTGTGACCCCACCCTATTATTATTAGTATTATTATTATTAGTATTATTATTATTATCAGTATTATTATTATTATTATTATTATTATCAGTCAGGCTTGTCCAACACTATAGATTAATCTATTTATTAATTTATTTTTGATTATCATTTTAAACTGTTATTATGAATTATTAGAATTATTATTATTATTATTTTTACTGTTATTAATAATTTTCCTTTATTACTAACTCTCTCTATCTTTCTATCCTT